TGTTGCCCGTTTTGTGCTCTCTGACCCACAGCTCTCTGTCTTTGGCCAGGTCCACTTTTCGAAGCAGTTGGTCCACAGGCTTGACTGTGCTTTGGTTGAACATGTCTGTCTCATGCCGCAGCTGTGTGTACTGACACAGATGTTGCCGGATCATCTCCACCCTCTCCACCTCCAGCCGCTCCAGCTCCAAAGGGGTGGTCACCATCTCTTCAAACCACTTGGACTGCGCCTGGTTGTAGAGGTCCACACAGCGCAAGGGGTCATCGCCAGCCTGTGTGGACTTTCTCCGTGCCTTCTTGATGTCCTCCTCTGTCTCGTTGCTCAGCTTGATCTCCAGCTGCTGGGTCTTCACCTCCAGGTCTCTCTGCTGCTCTGTGAGGGCTTTCCGGGCCTTCTCCACCGACGCATAGCGGCTGGTGAGCTGCTTGCAGAGGTCAGCGATATGGTGGTCACACTTTTTCATGTCTTTCTTGAATTCTCACGAAAGTTCATTAGGGGCTTCTCTACCTCGCGTGAAGCTTGGTGGAGAACTTGAGATGAGCCTCTGCTTCATCTGCCAGACTCTTCTTCACCTGGGCCCAGGCTTCTCCCAAGGAGTCTTCCTCCTGTGCAGCCAAGGAGTTCTGAGAGAGCTTAGCCAAGTTCTTTGCATGTTCTTCTTCAATCTTTATCCTCTCTTGGACGAATTCAGACATTTCTTTCTGCATTTGTTTGCCCTTCAGTTGTTTTGGAGCAGCAGTTCGAACCCAGCCACCAGGCCATTGCCTTGGGGATCCTTCTTATCAGCCCAGAAGTAGTCACAGTAGCTCCACTCGGTTGGCTTTAGCAGTTGCTGTTCGGGCATGGTGTCTGGTGAGGGAATGTCATGCAATTTATCATCTTCTCTATGGGGTCAACTTTATTTTCAAGATTTTGTCTTCATTGCCTGAGGTTCTATCTCTTGTCTGTTGGTGATACTTTCCATTGAACTTTTAAGTTGGTTTAGTGATTCCTTCACTTCAATGATTTCTTCTTGATTTCTTTTCAGGACCTCTAATATATCTTTACAGAAGTGATCTTTCATTTCCTGAAGCGAATCTGTTATTTTACTGCTTAACTCCTGTGCCTGCTCTCTTATGCAATTCTTTAAGTTGTAGAACAGTTTTACTAATTACATCCTGAACTCCTTCTCTGACATTTATTCGATGGATTCTCTTATGGGAGCAGCTTGGTTTGTTTGGAGCATTTTATTCCCTTGTTTTTTCATTTTGTTTGTGCGTCTTCCCATCTAGCCGTGTGGATCTGAGGCAGGATAGTTTCTACTCTGTCGATTTGAAGTGTCCCTGAAGGTTTCCAGAATCTCGCAGATCCAGGCTCCGGTTTCTGCAGGCTCTGCCACACTGCAGGACCCAGGAGGCTCACTGACCAAGGACCATGGATGAACCTGTGTTCTTCATATTGACATTTCAGACCTAAATTTCTCCTGCAGGTAACGGATAGTTTGCTGAGGAAGGTGACAGAGCCCATCCACTGAGGTCAGGCAGGGCTGTGGATAAATTGCTTCTTGGAAAGGAAAGCATGTGGGGGTCCACACGGTGGGCGCACCGGCAGAATCATTCCCTTCACCTCACGTTCCCACTGCTGGTGTCTGTCTGTCCTTTGACAAGACCTGCCAAGGCCACCAGCACTGAGCAGCCCCTCTGTGTGGCTCCAGAGGGTATCGAGGGCTCACTCAGGCCCCGACTTAAGCACTTCTCCTCCCAGGTGGCTATAGTGAGTGAGATCAGTGAGGGACACCGCAGGGCCACAACAGGACACTGAAGTTAAAAGGCCCCACAGGTCTTTGTCCTCTGCAGTAATGGTCATGAAAGCTGCGGGAACTCATTTTCTGTTGGGCTTCTGGAAGTAGCTTAGGAGGGTCTTCCCAGGACAGCTCAGTGCCCTGGTGCTCCAGGACCAGTGCGACCTCTGACTGCCCCGGGCAGAGCCCTGGCTGGACTCTCCAGACCACTTCATCAGGACTGGACATTGGTGTCAAACCAATGGGAAGACTGGAGGCTGCGCCCTAACACGTCCCTGGGGCTGGTACCTTCCCCCCAAAATGCATTCTGCTTTTTCAAGCTTTCTCTGAAGGCACTGATCCCTTCCCCACCCTCTGCCCTTGAAACTGTGAACAATGGAGGGAGGGAGGGAGCCAAAATCCACTTACATCCCGGGGTGCCCGAGTTAAAATAAGGTGGGACAGGTTCTCAAGGTGATTCATGTTTGTACCAAATTTATAACAGAACAGAGGCCGGACGCAGTGGTGCACACCTGTAATCCCAGCAGCTTGGGAGGCTGAGGCAGGAGGGTTGAGAGTTCAAAGCCAGCCTCAGCAATGGAGAGGTGCTGAGCAACTCAGTGAGGACTGGGGATAGCGGTCAGTGGTTGAGTGTCCCTGAGTTCAGTCAGGACACCATCAATCAATCAATCAATCAATCAATCAATCAGATCAGCAGTAGGAAGAGCAGACGGGGAAGCTGCACATGGCAGAAGCCCTGATGCAGGTTTGGAGCAGAGCCGCAGGCTGGTGGACAAGCTGCACACCCACACA